AAGGACACGAGTAATATGAAAATACACACACACACACACACACACACACACACACACACACACACACACACACGTGTATAAAGAGAGCTTACCCCTGAGGTCTTCTTATTGTAGACTTGCTAAACAGTAGATCACCATAAGGCAACTTCTTAAACTTGTCTCTGCCCACTGCGACATAGAACTGCCCATTCTCCAGATCTGACCCACTCTGAACAAGTTTTCCATCTAAAGTATAAAGCCTGGCAAAACATTAAATGGGGTTTCAATTAGATTTCCTAAGTGCACTGAAAAGCTAGAGTAACCTATCCACTTAAAAATCATGACTGATTCTTTTCGTCCTTAATTTACTGGACTTCAAAAGCAGAGCTATAACAGTTGTCATACAAATATATATACCGCTATACCCCCAAAGAATCAAATACAAGGAAAGAAATATCAAACTATCCATCCACATCACAACTTGGATCAAGCCGCATGGTACTTGGGATTCAAGCAGGTGAGCAGAGAAATCTAATTTGGGAATGATCTCTCATTGTCATGGGTGAACTGTGTCAGCTAATGAAACGAGAACTATTGGGAGACAGATAGAGGGTTTCCTCTATCCGGTAACTGGAATAAATATAAGAACTACTGGATTTCTGTACTCAGAGAAACTTTATTCTCTAGAGCTAAATGTGATCTGTTCCACTGGCTCTCAACCTTTTTCATTCTAGGACCCTCTTTTCCATATCAGGATTCACTTCCCGTCCAGCTGTATGGAAAAGGCAGGTAGGTCATCACCCCAAGATTCAGAACCCATCTTCTATTCATTTCAAATGTGAACATAATTATGCATAGTACTTTTATTCACACAGGGTATCTATGCTGGATTGGGCTTTTTTTGTTGTGGTGGGTATTGTTAATATATTATCAGGTCACTTTTACTTTATAGTAGCGTTTCTCAAACTGGGGACACCTGGAGGTCCCCGAGAGTGCCCCAGGGGTCCGCAGGCCCCGTTGATCAACTCCTCCCCCTCTCTCCCAGCGCCTCCTGAACGCTAAAGTCTGGAGGCACATCAGGGCTACGGCAGGCTTCCTTCCTGCCCTGGCAGGGGGCCTCTGTGCACTGCCCACTACCCAGGTGCCGATTCCGCAGCTCTCATTGGCCGGGAACTGCAGCCAATGGGTGCTGTGGGGGCGGTGCCTGCGGACATGGGCAGTGCAAGGAACCCCCTTGGTCCCCCCGCCTAGGAACTGCTGCCAGAGAGATGTGTCAGTCGCTTTCTGGAGCCACCTGAGGTCCCAGAGTCCCTCCCGGGGTCCACAGCCTGCACCCCAATCCCCTACACTGGCCTGGTGAAAGTGAGTGAGGGTGGGGGAGAGCGAGTGACAGAGGGAGGGGGGATAGACTGAGTGGGGCTGGGGCCTCGGAGAAGGGGCAGGGAAGGGGCGTGGCCTCAGAGAAGGAGGCAGGGCAAGGGCGGCACGGGGGGCCTTGGGGATCCCCGAAAAATTTTAAATCAAAATAGGGGTCCTTGAGTTGCTAAAGTTTGAGAACCGCTGCATTATAGCAAGGAACAGTATGTATAAAACAATTAAAATACCAAGAGCTAATGTCTGCGTTGTACCAGAGAGATCTTTACCATAATAATCTCGGTATATAGAGTAACAGACTATTGTGTGTACACATGCATTTACTGAGGGTGAAGGAAGAAACTTGTTGCTTGGGGATTTCTATTTCTCTTCTGTCAGAATCAGCTCATTTCCAAATCTCTGAATTTATACAAGAAAGATCACAAGGGGGTGGAGGGAATCCCTCTACACTGAACGGGTTCTACCCTGTGCAGCACGTTCCACAACTCAACAACAGGAGCATGTTTACATAATTAAATTTAACATTCAAACATCTGTATTTGAGAAGCCTTCTAGAGGGCGTGTGCATATTATCCACAAAGTGCACATACAGCAAATGGATGCACACTATACTGACATAAACAAATATTAATTTCTCAACAAGTCCACCTCAACAAGCTTTTTTCCCAACGGATATATACAGATATGTGCAAGATGAGAGAGCTGAGCTAAGTCAGAAAATTCTGTATTTTATAAAAAAGAAAAAGCTACTTTTCCCCATAATTCTTTTTACACTAACTTCCGACAGTCAGTATTAGTCAGATGAATCCATTGCCCTTTGAAGCCAGACATACACTTGGTTTAATCTTGCATGAAATAACATAAAAAAGCACAATTTGCAAAAATACTCTGACATATTTTTGTAACCCATAATGCATCATTAATCCCCCAGATGTGGAAGTTCTTCAGTTTTCTAGGTGCAACAAATTGTATACTAACATAGGTAACTTTTTTGTTCTTATTTTATATTAATACCAATCTCCACTTTTAAACTTTGCTGTTTCCTTGCATATCTAGTATGTCATCCCAAATGCACTTCCACTACTACAAAGTATACCTAGTAGTTATTTTTTAAATACAAACATTTCATGGTAATGGCTGCACTTGAAAAAACACTTATGCTTCATTGCCACATAAAAGCCACCAGTAATGATGAAACAATATTAATAAGCAAACAAGCCCATAAAGACAAGGAAACCTAAAATCAATAAGGAAACTCATTTCTGAATTCACCTCATTGTGTTTGTTAGACCACACACTGTTTGGAGAACCCTGGAAAACATCCTTCCTGCGCCTGCCCCCACTCTTGGGGAGCTTGGCAGGGAGAATCAGTGACTTGATAAATGTCATGCATGAAACCACAAAACTTGGCAGCTATGTTGTTAATGATGCGGAAAAGAAAAACACCACACATGTAGTGTCATTCTCGTAATTCTGTTTTTTCTTGTTTAATAAGAAGTACTATCTTTCTGGCATCAATGGTCTCACAGGATGACAACACAGTGACTATAAACCACAGCAATTAATTTGTAACTTATTAAGGAACAATGATCACTTTACTAACTTATTTAGTATGTATTCCTAGCATTTTAAGGAACAGAATATGAAAACTAGGTTAATAGGAAACCAGAAAAGGAAAACACTGAATGGTTCAAATGCCATACATAGACACCGACTCTGTGGGTGCTGAGCACCCACCGGCAACCTCCCTATCAGCTCTCCCCCACCCCACCCGCAACGCCTCCTGCCCACTGATGGGCCCTGCAGATCAGCACCTCCCCCTCCCTCCCCGTGCCTCCCACCTGCCGTGATCAGCTGTTTTGCAGCGTGCAGGAGGCTTTGGGGAGGAGGGGAGAGGAGTGAAGACACAGCGCGCTCAGGGGAGGGGGCGGATCTAGGCGGGAAGAGGAGGGGCAGGAGTGGAGCGGGCAGGGCCGGCTCTAGGTTTTTTGACGCCCCAAGCAAAAAATTTTATGGCTGTCCTCCACCCCAGCCCTGGGCTCTCCCCCGCACCCGCACCCCTTGCCGCCCCAGCGCTGGCCTCTCCCCCCCACCCCACCCGCACTGCCTGCCGCCCCAGCGCTGGGCTTCCCCCCACCAGCGCTGACGCCGCCCGCTTCCCCCCTCGCCTCCAGCCGGTCCAGCGCTGGCAGGGTCAGGGTAAGCAGCGGGGCTCCCGGGGCGCGCCTCAGCCCAGGGTCCCTCCAGCCAGGGCTCCCGCCTCCAGGACTGGCCAGGACCAGGGAGGACAGAGCTGGGGGACCACCCCGGCAAGGAGCTGAGGAGCTGGGGTAGGGCAGCCCCAGAGGGAGCAGAGCCCCAGAGAGCGGGACGCATGCCCCGCATGGCAGCGCCCCATCCTCTATGGCCCCGCTTCTGCTGCTGCTCCTGGCCGCCCTGCCGCAGTCCCTGGGCGGCTCTGGCCACTTCGCCCAGCCCCGGCTGCGGCGCTAGGGGGTGGCTGCCCTGCGGCAAATGCAGGCGGCTCCGTGTGCCCCAAAGGGCGGCCCCCAGATGGAGTGTCCCGTGCTCGGAGCCCGCCCGGCCATAAGGTGTGGGCGCTGTTCCCCAACGTGAACCGCTGCGGCCCCAGGGTGCCCCCGGTGCAGGACGCGCTGCTTCTGCCAGGGCCGGCTCTAGGCTTTTGCTGCCCAAGTGCCAAAAAAAAAAAATGCTGCCCCTGAAAATGTGCTGCCCAACCACCTGCTTGGTTTGCTGGTGCCTAGAGCCGGCCCTGGGAGCGGGGGTGGGAAGTGGGAGGGTGGGGCCTTGAGGGAAGGGGTGGGGTGGGGTGGGGGGCGGAGCCTGGGGCAGAGCTGGGGGTCCAGTATCCTCCGGCACTTTGGAAAGTCGGCGCTTGCGATGTCATGTGCATTTTTAGCATCAAAAATAACACAAAACACTGAACTGCAACCATAGTTACCTAAAGAATAATTCATATCTTTCTGTACATAATTTGGTTATTTCTTACACCAAGTAATGACATCAAACTGTGAGAGCAAACCTCTAATTGTTTATTAATTTCAAAACAATCTGGAGGTGAAAACAGAGGGCCAGATCTTCAGATGGTAAAAAGTGACATCACTTCACTGGAGCTACAATTTCTACCTGCTGAGGATCTGACCGAAAGAGTTGTCATGTATGTTTACATCTATTTTACTGTATATAACATCTTAGATGTCCCAAAAAATACTGTGTTTTGTGAGTCTAGTGATGTTGATAGAAACATGGAGCTGGGGATGAGGGAACTGGATGGAAGCTAGCTGGCAGAGAGTCAACCCACACAAGACTGAGGTTATACAGCGGGGGAGATTTTTTCATCTCTTATTATTTGGGGGGAGTTTCTCTTTTTGTGATACAGCTTTACAACCTGGAGGTCTTACTGACTCCCACCTGCTCCAGAATAGCTTAGTAAAGCAACAGTTGCAAAGAGTGCTTCACTGGTACAGGGCTGTGACCTTTTCTCTCGGATGCAGACCTTACCTAAGTTAACCATGCCTTTCCCATCTGCAAAGTGGATTACTGTAATGTGCCCTACATGGGGATGTACTGGAAGGCCACGAATTTTGTTAGTACAGGATTTGGCAGCCTGCTTACTTCAGTGTTTCCCACAGAGAGCACATTTAATCTGTGCTCAAGGACTTGAACTGGCTCCCAAATAATTTCCAGGTACAATTAAAGGGGCTGATTTTAAGTTTTAAAGCCCTAAATGATTTGGGAACTACCTACCTGAGAGATCATCTCTCCTCTAATCGATACTGTATCAACTGAGATGAGATGAGATGCTTGTATAACTTTGGAACCAGCTTCCCACCTTGGTCTGACAGAGATTGAGCTGGTTGACTTTCTGAGCATGCTGCAGGGCCCAAGTCATCAGAAAATGGTGGGCTGTGGATAGAGCTGGTTGAAAGAAATTAGATGGGCCAGTTTTCCATTGAAAAATGCAGGGTTTTTATAACTGAAATATTTTGTGGGAACATGTCAATTTTGATAAAACGCTTCATGACAAAAGTCAAAACGTTTCATTTCAATAATGTTAAAACATTATATTTTGACTTTATTGTTTTTATTTTGTTACATTAAATATTAATGTCAATGTTGTATTGTCCTTATATATTATATTTAATATTATATATGTCAGAACTATAAAGCCAAAACAAAACATTTCAACTGTACTGAATCAACTTTTTTGGAACTTTCATTTAAGTGGAAATGCAAAATTTCAGATTTTCATTCTGATTAGGAACAATTTTTTTCAAAATGTCAGAATTTCCTGTGGAATAGAAATTCAGTTCCCAACCAGCTCTATTTATAGAGATTTAAAGATATGTCAATATGTAAAGTATATGTTATAAATATACAACTTCCCCATACCTGTGCACAGCTCCACTTCGGAGGGTTACTTTTTCTGTCACCATTTCAAGAACATGATCCCACTGATTTAGTGTTTTTCTAGGGATGAAGAGGCGCACTGCTGGATTTATAAGGTCTCCATTAGCAATCAGACTGGAAGAATAAAGGAAAGTTAAATAATGTGTAGCTGTGTTTAAATAAAACTCAATAGAAACAAGAAAAAGACGATGGTGGATTACCTCCCCTAACAGAAAATCCTACTTACAAAATAGTGCATGGCTCTTGAAGTGGTTTTCGAAACCGTGCTGACACATTGATTCTACTGTGGGTAACTGGCTTCACCTGGAAGGACAAAAGTATAAAGTCATTTATTCTGTCTTTATCTTAGGACAGGAATTTTAAAAAAAATTATTTCATTTTACTTTTACCTCACTCCTCTTTTTCCAGCAGTAAGTTTAAACTTCACACTACTGCCATCTGGCACTAAGTACTCTCTGGTATAACAGCATACTATAATGACTGGGGCCCTTCCTGGGGGAATTATATTAGGTTATAAAATTTGGACCTTGACCTTTTGCCTTCATGAAGACCTTCCTTCCCACCCGCTTATAAAGCTTTCCTCTATCCCTCCCAATATGCAGGAGTTATGTCGCCATAAACATACACCTGCCACAAAACCTGCACTGAACTTCAGAGCTCTGCAGATGCCATTATTGACTTGCCAGTAAGTGCTGTTGAGTCACACAAGGGTCAACCTCCCAAACTTCACCCCTGACTTCTGACGGTGTTTCTGTCTTAGTTCATGCCTACTGGTTCGGAAAGTCAAACCTGCATCTTCAATTCGGTATAATAGCTAAGTACCTCTAGGCCTTAGAGTTTAATAAATATTTTGCTCTTAAAAAGCCCTTTTCATCCAGCTCTTTTTATTATCAAAGCACTTTACAAAAGAGGGTAAGTACAAGTCTCATTTTACAGATGGGAAAAGGCGCACAGGTAGAAGTTTGTGGCATTCCAAATAGAACGTAGGCTGCCTGATCCCCAGACATGGGCATGCATCACTAGACCATACTGCCTCCCTTTTTAATAAACACGGAGTTCAGAGTGCTCAGTAGTCATGACATTAATATTTAATAGACAGTTATCCAATGCTATCAAGCTAGGCTTCCACATGGCATTCATCACATTCTTTCAAATTTTCAAGTAAAAAAATAAACACATAAAAGGTAAACACATCTTCTTCCCCTCACTTCCCCCCGCAAAAATCAATTAAAGGGAAGACTTTTCATCTACTATAATTCACAAATCATTGAGCCAGGTGGGCTGACCAAATCCCGAACAAACATCCAAAAATAAAGGAAAATGTATTTACAATCTCACAATACCCCAAGAAAGGGTCACAGGTTTGAAGGATTCAACACACCATACTCACAAATAGAAACATGCTTCGCAATACTTATATAGTTAGCGCAAGTTACATGCCCAATCGTAGGATGAAAAATAGCCCATGCTTTAGTCCCTTATAAGCTTTATCAGTCCTCGTCCACACATAAAGTTAATTAATAAGCCTCATTTCAACTTGGGGAAAACTACCATTTATATCTTCAAATGGCTTTACAAACAAACAAATTAATTCAACCTGAAAACACCCTGTAAGTATTATCATCTGCCTTGTACAGATTGGAAAACTGAAAAAGAGGTTAAGGGATTTGCCAGATAGTCACAAATTTTAGGGTCAGGAGAGATTATTATGACCATCTAGTCTGATGTCCTGCACAACACAGGCCAGATAACCTCATCCAGTTATCCCTGCATCAAGACAATATTTAGAATCATAGAAGCATATAACTGGAAGGGACCTCGAGAGGTCAAGTAGTTCAGTCCCCTGCACTCAAGGCAGGACTAAGTATTGTCTAGACCATCCCTAACAGGTGTTTGTCCAACCTGCTCTTAAAAATCCCCAATGATGGAGATTCCACAACCTCCCTAGGCAATTTATTCCAGTGCTTAACCACTCTGACAGTTAGGAAGCTTTTCCTAAGGTCCAACCTAAACCACCCTTGCTGCAATTTAAGCCCATTGCTTCTTGTCTTATCCTCAGAGGTTAAGAAGAACAATTTTTCTCTGTCCTCCTTGTAACAGCCTTTTATGTACTTGAAAACTGTTATCATGTCCTCTCTCAGTCTTCTCTTCTCCAAACTAAACAAACCCAATTTTTTCAATCTTCCCTCATAGGTCATGTTTTCTAGACCTTTAATCATTGTTGTTGCTCTTCTCTGGACTTTCTCCAATTTGTCCACATCTTTCCTGAAATGTGGCACAATACTCCAGTTGAGGCCTAATCAGCGTGGAGTAGAGCAGAAGAATTACTTCTCATGTCTTGCTTACATCCCAGAATGATGTTTGCTTTTTTTGCAACAGTGTTACACTGTTGGCTCATATTTAACTTGTGATCCACTATGACACCCAGATCCCTTTCCGCATTACTCCTTCCTAGGCACATTTCCCGTTTTGTAGGTGTGCAACTGACTGTTCCTTCCTAAGTAGAGTACTTTGCATTTGTCCTTATTGAATTTCATCCACTTTACTTCAAACCATTTCTCCAGTTTGTCCAGATCATTTTGAATTTTAATCCTATCCTCCAAAGCACTTGCAACTCCTCCCAGCATGGTATCGTCCACAACCTTTATAAGTGAACTCTCTATCCCATTATCTAAATCATTGATGATGATATTGAACAGAACCGGAACCAGAACCAATCCCTGCTGGACCCCACTTGTTATGCCTTCCACCATGACTGTGAACCACTGATAACTACTCTCTGGGAATGATTTCCCAACCAGTTATGCACCCACCTTATTGTAGCTCCATCTAGGTTGCATTTCCCTAGTTTGTTTATGAGAAGGTCATGTGAAACAGTATCAAAAGCCTTACTAAAGTCAAGATATACCACATCTACCACTTCTCCCCTATCCACAAGGCTTGTTAACCTATCAAAAAAAGCTGTCAGGTTGGTTTGACACAATTTGTTTTTGACAAATCCATGCTGACTGTTCCGTATCACCTCATTATCTTCTGTGATACAATAGTGTCTGCAAATTGATTTCTAAATTATTTTCTCCATTATCTTTCTGGGTATAGAAGGCAAGCTTACTGGTCTGTAATTCCCCGGGTTGTCCTTATTTCCCTTTTTATAGATGGGCACTATATTTGCCCTCTTCCAGTCTTCTGGAATCTCTCCT